AAAATTAGCGCGGCCGCGCAAATGGGCGCGCTACCGGCGTGCATATCGCATACTATTCTGTAAAACGCGCATAACCTTTTGCACAGAGATCCGTTCAGGCTCCATAATATATCATTGGAAAGCTATTTCGAAGGCCTACAACGTTCATGCTTTGAGTTTTCCCCAATTCCTTAGACATTTTCAGTAAAACTTGATGGAAGATAGACCTTCTGCAAACTTAGTCGATTTTGTCAAATCTTATGCACCTCACTCTCCGTCTTGATTCCAAAACAACTATTTTCACCCATATTCATCCCGATGGGACTTCACATGTATAAAATATCAAATTAATACCCATTTAATATGTCCACACCTAGTCCGAATGTACGGGATGTTACAATTATTTCATGGCTGATTATGGACCATAGCTTAAGAGCCATGCCAATAATATAAAACTCATACAAAATACCGGCATATTTCACTTAATTACAACCTCGAACCAGAGAACAAAAATTTTCATCGAAAATTCAAGACTAGTAATCACGTGGGGCATGAAAACATAAACTAAAATTTGAGAATTTTTTTTATGCACAAATAAGCCAAACGCTCCAATCATTAGTCATCAAGGATATCAAACAGAGGATTTCACTTTCTTACAAAATAATTATATCATCACACAATAGCAATTATACCTTGTAAGACTTAGTCAATAAAATCCTACACCTCTATTATTGAATTTAACACAACCACACGTCTATTTACTAATAATCAATGTGTAAACCAATTATATGACCAGTATTTAATTATGGAGACCATGGGGAGTCACCCCATCACCATTGAATTAAAGACGGATCAAAATTATTAAGAAATAATTTTCAGAAAATAGACACTACTAAAAAACGGCCAATTTCCGACGGAAAAAAGTAGTCGGAAATTTCCGACGGAATCAGTCGGAAAATACATAAAAATTTATTTTTCAATTTTTACTAATAGTTGCGCTAATATTCCGTCTATATCCGTCGTAAATTTTGGCGGAAAATTCCGCGCCACTATTAGAGACCAATTCGGTCGGAAATATTTTTTCCTTTTTTTTTAAAAAAAAAAAGTAGCGACCAATTCGGTCGGAAATTTTTAATAAAGTGCGGTTGACTGCTTTGACCGAATTAGCAACTGATTCAGTCGGAAATATTTTTTAAAACCCTACCAGGCCACTTCTTTCTTTTCCTTTCCTTCTTTTCTTCCTTCTCTCTTTTCTCTCTCACTCAAACTTTCCCCACCCAAACCCACCGCTGCCACCAATCAGTGGCGCCGCTGAAGCTCCGTCGAGACTCCGTCTCCACTGCCACCACCCGCTGAAGCTCCGTCAGAGGATAAGAGGGGTTAGATGTACTATTTTTCCCTTCTTCATTACAGGTTTTTGTATTTTTATTTCTCAATCGAATTCTTTTGGTTAAAAAAAACTCTCTTCTTGGTTGTTTGACAAGATTAGAAGATTCATTAGTAGAAATACAAAATGATAGTCTGAAATTGTTGCTTTAGTTCTTATCAAATTGAGGTTTTTTTTTGTTTAATGTGCAGATTTCGTTCTTATCAAATTGAGGTTTTTTAAGATCGTCAAGAATATTAATTTTAATTTACTTTTCAATAGCTGATAAAATATATGAAGATAATTTAGAGATGTGGTCCTATAAATCTGGTGGCATTCAGATATGGCGAATCGTTTTTCTTTCTAACTTCTCTTGGAAGTGTTCTTACAACACAATTTCATAAGTTTGAAGTGTTTAGTTGGATAATTTTTATTCGAAGTTCTTATTATGTGAAAGGTATAAAGGGAAGAAAAAACCTTATCTTGAATATTCCTGTTGGAAAGGAAGAAGAACAAAGCAATATCCATTTTTGTACACTCATGAATGAGTTTTTTCCTTCTTTATTTTTGGGCTCTGTCCTTCTCGTACTTGAATTTTCTTTTTTCTTTTGATGATTTACATTTTTTAATTTATAGGATGAGTAATTAAAAAACTAAAATAGAAAGAAGCAATTTTTTGGAAGTTCTCAGAAAAATAAGTGAAGAAGATGCAGCTTTTTAGGTAAGAAGAGGAGTAAAGTTATTGACATGTTATGTGATGGGCTAAAACTGAAACGGTCGGAAATCTCCCCAGATTTAGCAATAAATTGTCAGATTTTCGACTGATTCGGTCGGAAATTTTTTTAAAATAAAATTTAATTTTTAATTGTTAATTTCCGACAGATTCGGTCGGAAATTTCAAAAAAAATTATTAATATTCATTAGTTTTCGACGGATTCCGTCGGAAAATAAATAAAATTTAATTTTTAATTATGTATTTTTCTTGTATTATTACGACCGATTCAGTCGGTAAATTCCGACCACTTCAGTCGTAAACTGAATTATTTGGTAGTCTGACCATTTCGAAATTTGCGACCACTTTAGTCGAAAATCACCGACGGATTCAGTCGGAAATTTTTTTCCGACCAACTTTTTTCCGACAGACCAAATTCGGTTGGAAAATAGTCGGAAATACGTGATTTCCGACCGAATTCCGACCGTTTTGGCCGTCGGAAATCTGCCATTTTCTAGTAGTGAGAAAAACGTCCAAAACACAGTCCAAACAACCTCAAAACGCCGAAAAACACCAAGATTCACTGCTAAAGCAGTGAGTTTTTCTCACCACGTCGTTTTCGATGGACCCACCAAATTTCAGCTCAATCGGAGTCTGTCAAGTTTGCTGACCTCCGAAAATACCGGCAATTCGGTCAAAATCAGGTTTTGCGTTTTCTAGGGTACCCAAAAAATCCAGATCATCTCAATCAAATATCAATAAGAAAGCAGATATCTCATGATTACAAGAATAATCCAAATTTTTTGCCCCAGTTAATTCACAAAATAACAGTGCAGTTTTCAGAAAATCACATATACATGTAATTCAAAAACGCACATAAAAACGATATTCTTGTTTCATGAAAAACTTAGTTATCTAATTAGATATGAGTGAGCTCTTATACCAATTGATGGATTATAATAAGCAGTGGAAGCAATCCAAGTATCAAAATCACATGTAATCTAGACAACTAGCATAAACGGAATTTCACGGGTTACCTCTTGAAGCGTGAACAAATCTCTTCTATCACGTGAGCCTTCAATTCCATAACTTTTCAATGGAATCTCCATCACCCGCACAATCGTGATCCTCGAACGTTCCACGGTCTTCTACTGTGTTGCTCAAATAATACCCGAAAATAGTAATTTCGTGTGGGCGAAATTTTCGAAGGAAAAGGCTTAAAATTTCGGCCCCCTTTTCTTCTCTATCTCTAGGTGGAAAACCTTATGTATTTATAGCACAAGTTTTAAAGGTTAAAGCCTTTTTCCAAAACCTGTTAGGTTTTCTTTTCCACCAGAAAAAGGATTCCTTTATTTCCTATTATTTAGGCACAGCAGGGACCACATAATTTAATTAGCAAGACTCCAATTATGGAATTAATTTTTATTTTTCGAAATTAATATCCACCATAATTAATTACGAATTATTCCACTAAAAATCTGTAATTGCACTCCTTATTCAATTTCGAAATTCATCCATTAAATCTTATTTAACTCCCCATGTTAAGATTCAGATACTAATCAATTAAATTAAATTACTAACGATTTAATTTATTGATTATTTCCTTTAGACTTTCGCTTAACTTATTTAATGTGTCGGATACAAAATTCACCGGTCGGGTTTACATATGAAAAACTTATAAACTTTCCTAAAGGTGTATCATCAATCTCTAAACCGAGACATGGATTCCATCAACTAACTATTACTTCGCTAATGTACATTATTATTATTATCCAATTTACTAGGCATATTGACCCACGAAAGAATCTCGCCTTTTAATAAATAGAAACAATAATAATATACACAGCTAATAATAATTATATCAAGATTAAGAGTATAAGTACATTTAATGGCTAGAGAGTTTATTTTATTAAGTCAGTATAAAATACTTATCTCTACTTGGTCCGTTCAATACATACAAAATGTACTAGCACAAGAAGTTGGAATTAAACCATTCCCATAATCAACATAAATTATATTTAATCTTGTGCTACAATCATTCCTGATGGGTTGTCCAATTCCATTATTAGATTGTGAACTCAAACTTTATACTTATAAGAACCGGTGATTTGATGTTCCGTGTATAAGCTAAACTCTATACACTAAATCATCTACTGTATCAGTACCAAATAACCTAGAATAAGGAAGTTTTAGACCCACTCAAGGGAACTAGCAAAGAAGCAAGATGTCCAGTCACCTGATCTTTAGGATTATTACGATAGCAGGCGAGACTAAGCAGAAATACAAAGTGTAGGTAATTCTTTATCCACTCTGCCGGATCAATTACATTTGACACCTAAGGAAGGAGAATTAGCGGCATCTCCTTCGAGAAGAGCCCATATTCTTTCAGTAATACTATGAGATAGATTAGGAAAGACTTCGTTTTCCTCCAACTCCGGGTCAAGGTTTGTTCCTTAAGGCAGATGTTTTGCCCCGCTAGGAAAGAATGGAACTTCAAAAACATGTACTCTGTCGAAGGAAAAGAGGTTTCAGCAACCCTAGAGCTAGTTCAACTTGAAGACTAGCAAATGACACAAACTAATATATGACCTATTTAAAACTTTATTAAACTTGAATGAACAATTATATCATAATAAATACTACATCTAAACCAAATCCATGGTTAATAGTATATATCCCAACATTAACAATATACGCCAATGCAGGTTTTATTTTGGTTAAAGCTTTAGGCTTGTCAACTACAGCAGCTGCTTTTCTTGAAAAGCTCCTCGACTCCCAACAACAATTAAGAAAATTAAATTCACCTAACTTTCATAAGCTCCACATTAACAACCCCCGCAACACTAGGAACAAGATACATGGGATAAGGCAAGGCATAAAAAATTCGATTTCTTCGATTATATTAAAATATTCTGAAATTAATAGGCACTCAAGCAGGTTTGGGCCGTTTGGCACATAAACTTGCTGCGAGCCCCTAATTCCATGCCAACATAAAATACCAGAGACCGGGATAGGGAAAGAAAGACTAGCAACAAATTGGCCATTTTACATGCTACACTTTCTTTGATGTCGGTAACAATTTCTTTTTTTATAATCGTTGTGTCCGGGCAGCTTGTCCGCACCTTGACTAATTCTATGGAGATACCTGCTACCTCTGCCTGCAACAAGTACCAGGTAACTCTTCACCAAGGCTTGGACAGATGGGACGAGTCACCTGGTGTCTTTTGTCTCAGCTGGGATTTAAACCTGAGATATCAAATTCTCAACCCACTTCATTGAGCACTAGGCCACATCCTCGGGTGTGATCATGGTAATAAATTACCTCAGGGGAAAAACAATGAAGCACAATAGAGCATGAATAAACATACCTTTGCAGAGTCCGAAAGCACTGCATAGGCCTCGCTTATCATCTTAAAGAGCTTGTCGGCATCTCTGTGGACTTGTTCTGCTATGTCTTTCCACAGTCCATCATCCGCATTGTCATTTCTAGCCAGTGATTGCCCAGCCTAGATCAGCAAAACAATGTTAGCTAAAGTCACCATAAGTGGTGTTACAAAGTAGCAAAGGTCCTAGAAAGAAACCTTATCAGGGTGATGCTTGAGCGCAGCTTTTCTATAGGCTTTCCTAATTTCTGATGCACCAGGAGATGAATCAACTCCCCTGTCATCGTTAGAAAAACAAATTGCTTACTACAAAAAAATACACCTGTATGCATATTATTTCCACAAATAAATACTCTCTCGATTCGTTTTATAGATGTAAGCTAGAGAAACAAAACCTTAATATCTTGTAATTTTTAACATGCCATGTCTGCTTCTATTGCATGTCATTAAAGGTAAAAGAAAGAGTTCAATAACTTGAGTCACAACTAAGAAACTCATAAAGTGAGGTAAAAGTTCAAGGGGATTTCCTTTCTGGCTTCTTCCTCCGTTGCCGAAAGCTTTTGTTGTGTTTGCCGAATCTCATTTTGTTATGTGATCCAGATCCACCAACTTTATTTTCCATATGCCTTGTCAGAAGGGACACAAGTCGCTGAAGATCTGAAGCTGCTCGTCCGTAATCTCTGATCATCTCAAAAAGAGAAGCACGCTGCATTAGTTTATGTTGGCATTAACCAAAGATATACTGTACCCTAGAATCAGGTAACTAACTCCACAAATTACTATGGATACTTATTCACTAGAAAAACAATGCCAAACTGATCAAATGGCATTAACTGAAGATATACTGTACCCTAAAATCAGGTAGCTAACTCCACAAAATTGCTATGGATATTTCTTCACTAGAAAAACACTGTCAAACTGATCAAATTCAATATTGTACGTACTAGGTCACCAAAAAATGCAGTGTAGTCTTGTGAAGTCCTCGGTAATGCTTAGAACTAAGAACTATTGTGCTTAACCAGCCCATTCATACGAGAGAAACAATAAAACAACCATCTTTGAACCAGTAACTCAATCAGCATAGAACTTCGTGAAGCAAATGAGAAAAAAGAAAAAAGATTTCCTATTTAAGTCATCTTAATTATGGCTATATTCATCATAACAATGTGCAAATTAATGAAAAAAAGTAGCTACAAGAAAGAGATCGTCTAAAATGCAGTCCTGGAGAAGTATCCATACAACAATAGTATGATCATGCCAATTGGGATTTTCCTGAATTTCATTATGTCGAGAGTGGGATCGGGGAACAAACAAAGGAAGTGGATTAGATTCTGCATTGCTACGGTCAGAAAATCAGTCCTACTGGGCAGCCCGTGCGTATATTTCAGTAGCTCGAGAGGTATAAGATAAAGTGGATCCATTATCGTCCCTGCTGTTTAAACTGGTTATGGAAGCACTGAACAGAATGATGGATAGAATTGTGACAAGTGGATACCTGAGGGCCTTATGCTATTGAGATACCACATGTACTCATAAAAAAAATCCCTGCACCGTCCAGAAATTCTACAATGCAAAAATAGATGTTCAACTGATTCCTGTTTTTCGAAACCATTTTTGCCCAGCGTTGAACCCTTGACCTAGTCATTCAAAGAGAACTCCTCAACCACTATGAACAAGGATAGCTGGTAAGGGAATTGGGGTGAGAGGCTCGAACTCTCGACCTCAGGAAACAAGGAACACCTGTTAACCATTAAAAAACCTCTTCTTTGGAGATTCTCTTGAGTTAAACAAGCTCTCCTTGTTACAATCCAACCTAAGCAAGCTACTTCTGTAGGGCCTTCTGTCTTCCAAATCATCTTCCATGGCCAATTAAGGCAAAGCAAAAAGAGAGGCAGAAGCTGAACTCTTTTAACACTTCAAGAATACTCCTTTTTCCCATATAGAAATTAAAAAGATGGCTAGTTTAGGCATGTATTGGAATACAGGATTCAAGAAAAGGGCAGTAAAATGGCTAGTTCTGCAAAGGAGATTAATAATGAAAAGCAGAACAACAGAGTTGAGCTACCAGAGGAAGTGAAAAAATCAAGAGTACTAATATTAGGTGGAACTGGAAGAGTTGGTGGTTCTACTACTATTGCTCTCTCTAAATTCTGTCCTGACCTTCACATTATCATTGCTGGTCGAAATAGGTAATACCCCTTGTTGAATTTCAAGTTGTTGGTCTTCTATATAGGGTGTGTTTGGTATAACGGAAAATGTTTTCCAAGAAAATATTTTCTTGGAAAACAAGTAGTAATCTTATACATTTTTCGGTGTTTGGTACGCAAATTAAGGAAAATGACTTTGCAAGAGTATTCATAAATAATTTAAATATAATAACATGAAGCCATAAACTTTCAAACTAACAACCTTACGGACCCACAAATTTTATAAACTTTCGAACCGCTAAACTTTCAAATTTCGAACTCGTAAACTTTATAATTTCTGAACCCGTAAACTTCCAAACACATAAACCTCCGAACTCATAATTTTGGAACTTGTAAAATTTTGAGCCTTTAAACCGATAAATAATAAATTAAAACTGAAAAATATATTTAAATTTATTTGGGGGGAGGGGGGGGGGTCAGGGGGTGGGGCAGGTGGGGGGTGGGTGGTGCAGAAAAATAAAAAAACAGAAATTTAAAATTGCAAAAAAAAAAGGTAAATTTTTTTTTTTCTCGTGGGGGGTGGGGGTGGGGGTGGGGGTGGGGGGGATAGTAGGGTGGGTGGTAAAGGAAAAAATTGAAATTGGAAGAAAAAAATATTTTTTGAAGAGGGGGTAGGGTGGGGAAGGTTGAGAAGGAGCTTTGGAAAATGTTTTCCCTTCTCTTGATAAGGAAAAATTTTTCCTCCAATTGGAGGAAAATGAATTGATAAGGAAAATATTTTCCAAAACATTTAAGGCAACCAAACATGGGAAAATTGGAAAATATTTTCCGGAAAATATTTTCCTTCGTACCAAACACACCCATAGTTTAGTTTTTATGAGAAATTGTTGGAAACCAAAAACTCATTCATGGGATTTTGTACTTTAAGAAATAGCACTTGCAATTTGAGTGCTACTTCGTGCTTTCTGAACATTTCACACAGTTTTGTTACTTTGAAAGGGAGCCTTGCAGCAACATAAAGTTGTCTCTGTGTGACCTATGAGTCACGGGTTCGAGCCGTGGAATCAACCACTGATACTTGCATTAGGTTAGGCTGCTTACATGACACCCTTGGGGTGCGGTCCTTTCCCTTACCAGCGTAAACGCGGGATACTTCGTGTAGCGGCTGCCCTAGTTACTTTAATATAATAAGATAGCCCGCAAGGGTTGGCTGAGTTGATTGGGTGGGTTGTTTTCCACACGAGAGACTATCGGTTCCCCTCACCGCCAACCTCCTCAGTCGGAGCTCGTCGCACCGGACTTACCTAGTGCGGTTTATGTGTCTTATGTGATTTACGAGCTATGACACAGTGAGCAGGTTACCCAGTGCGCACCCGAAGGGTAGCCGCTGTGGGTTTCCCCGGGAATTTTCCAATATATATATAAAATAAGATATAGTTTTGTGACTTCACTTTTACGGTGGGTAAAGTTAAGTTACTTGAATGTGACTAAAAATTGTTTTGTGACGTTACATGTTATAGTAGGTAAAGTTTCCTTAATGTGACAAAATCATTTTTTGAATCTATTGTTATTGTTGGTAAAGTTCAGTAACTTTAATGTAACAAAAAAATAGTTATGTGATTTTACTATTGTAGAGGAGGCTTAACAAATATTGGTGAGAGGTGATTAGGCGGGACATGACGCATTTTCAACTTACTGAGGACATGAACCTTGATAGTAGGTTGTGGAGCTCGAGGATTAGGATAGAAGGTTAGTAGGTAATATAGCGTCCGGCCCTTCCATACTGATAGCTTTAGTATTACTCTTTTTCTGGCTAAGGATCACTATTATTACCTGTTGTTGCTTCTGTTCCAGTTTGTTACTATCTTGTTGCCTCTGTTTTTTTTATAACGTTTTCTTCATTTGTTATTCATTTCTTTACTACTGTGACTACGCTTACTTGAGCCGAGGGTCTATCGGAAACACCCTCTCTACCTGCACAAGGTAGGGCTGAGGTCTGCGTACACTCTACCCTCCCTAGACCTCACTTGTAGGAATTCACTGGGTATGTTGTTGTTCTTGATTTTACTAATGTATTGGCTAAAGTTCAGTTACCTTATATATACGAAATGCAATTTCACAATCCCATGTAGCATATCGCTAATATTGGCTATGTCTTTCCACTACTAGAAATCCGGTAAAAAGCGACCACAAAAAGCGACCAACTGGTAAAAAGCGACCACAAAAAGCGACCAAAGTTGGTCGCTTATAGGCCTAAAAGCGACCAAAAAGCGACCAAACATGCCTGGTCGCTATATTGCTGGTCCCTAAGGTAAAAGGACCAAATATTCCGGGTATTGACTATAGCGACCAACTTTGGTCGCTTTATTATTTTAATAATATAATTTTGGCGACCAAAGTTGGTCTGGAAAATAGAGACCAAGGCTGGTCGCTATTTTATTAATTTTTTAATTTTTGTTAAAAATAAGCGACCAAAGTTGGTCGCTATTTTTCCAGATTTTTTTTTTAATGGAATAGCGACCAAGTTTGGTCGCTTTTTTAGAAATCTGGGTAAAAAGAGATCAACTTTGGTCGCTATTGCCTAAAAAATTATTTTTTTTAAATGAAAAGCGACCAAATTATTTTTTTTAAATGAAAAGCGACCAAAAAGAGACCAAAGTTGGTCGCTTTTCTGGGTATTATTTTGGCAGAAACTGCCTGTTTTGGCAGCTACACCACCTGCCAGCATACCAAATCCCTATTACAAGCAACAACAACAACAATACCAACAACAACAACAACAACAACAACATTAAAACCAACGAAGTATAAAGTTCAATAGAACTAACACATTAAGCTAACAAAACTAAGTTAACGCTTATTACAAGCCCATTCGAAAACTGGTTCTATTGTCTAGTTCAAAGTATATAAAGTACTCAAGGAGTGTTCTTTCAGCATTCTCGTCCGAAAGTTGGATTGCCTCGCCCGACTCATTAGGTGGCTGACTGCGTATGAATTCCTCCACATCAGCTGTGAAGCGAACCTATAAGAAAAATTATATTAAATTAGTATTTCAAAATTTATATAAAAGTAAATAAAAATATTTAATGAAAAGTAAAAAACTTACATGTATAGTCGAGGCTCGACCCTCGACCCACCTTTCTGAATCAGTCTCTTTCTTCTTCTTTACAATATGAGTTTCATTGAATAGCTCATGATCTTGCTTCATTGGCATCATAAAGCTGTCCGGTGGCTTTGGTGATTATCCTCGGGATGAACTTGGATACAGAGAATAACTTGGATACAGTAGTTGACAGGGTGTGTCTTTTGATCAATTGTTGTTCTCGTTAGCGACAATGATGATGAGAAGGATGAGAAGGCAATGGCATGTGTTTCAAATAGTGATGGTGTAGGCAGGAATTTTATCATTTCCTAAGTAGATAAAAGAAAGATTATAGAGGAATTCTCTACTTCATTTTCCAAGAAGAAAAGAAGTTTAATTGATAGTGACAAGGTTGATGGTGATGGAATGATTACCGTTGGTCGTGGCAGTTCCCATAAAACGGGGAT